CCCCAAAACCCCAAAACCCCAAAACCCCAAAATCAAGAATAATTTAAGTTAAATATGTCTTCTAAGAAAAAAGGTTCTAGGCTTAATCTTCCTGGCCGGACAAGTCTTACAGCGGAGGGATTCTGAAATGATTACATTGATTCAAAACTTGCTGATGAAATAATGGCTGATGATATTTCATTAAGCTCAGAATCTGAAAGAGAGGTTGATTTTTGGATAAATTACAGAAAATAAACTTGACATTACAGAACAGTTGAACTTGGATAAGTATTACATCGATGATGAAGTCAGATTAAAAATCAAACGTTTACTAAAAATGGAGACTAGTTCAGAGAAGGAGTTTGAGAAATAACTTCAAGTACTGCTACTCTGAATGAATCTGGGCTTATGATCGTATAAGCACACTACAGAATGTAATAAAGGGTCTAAATTCTGAGATCAAGAAGGCCACTAATAGTGCTGAGAAGGCGACAAAGTATATCAACACTATCTTACTTGCAAACCAACAGAAGAACAAAAATGATAAAATGGTAGTGAAGATACAGTGAAAGCAGGATTATCAGCACAGACTTGAAAAAATCCAGAAAGCTTTTAATGAAGAGGTTGAGGTAATCAAGACTCAATCAGAAGACCATCGGATTGACTCACAAATGAAAGATAATATTCTGATGAAGCTAACTAAAATAGTGATTGAGCAAGAATTTATACTTGGCACTATCAAGAAATACTACAAAAGAAAATTTGGATTGACAAAATTAAAAAGTTTCTCTGAATATCGTAATAACTTACTCGATCGGATTGATGACAAGCAACCAAGTAGGATTCCCTTTGAGCCTAGCAAGAACGAAAGTGTCAAATCTTATATCAGTAAGCTTATTATATAAATAATAGGTGGTGACAAAGAGAATAACATTCTTCTTCATGAATTACGAACTATGAAAAATCTTGTGAAATCATCGGTAAATCAGACAGTGAAATGGCAAAATGAAATATCTAGGCTTCAAAATATTATCAAAGGAGTAAGTTTAATGGTATTAACCTATTTAGAAAGATATTGAACTCTCTAAAGGTATTCTTCGACCCTAAAATTCATCACTCAAACCGTTTTAGATACAACAGTCGAGCATCGAGCTCGGATCAAACAATTAGAGAATGACTTGTACCAGAGAGGGCTAGATTTCAAGGAGTACAAATAGACTTGTTTCTCAAGAGATACGAGTCAAGGAGAGTCTCCAGAAGAAGTCTTCCAAATATAACAGAGTTTTACGGAACGAATTAGTTTTTGCTAAATAACATCATCAAGAACCCGAAGATATACAAACAAATGAACCGTTCCATGAATAATTCTATAAAAGAATTTGATTCATACAAGTATAAGCCAACTTCCAAGAAACCCCCGGTTAAGAAAAAGAGCTCAAAGAAAGGTACTGTTTGACACTTAATTTTATAGTTAAGTCACGGAGTAGATGATCTAAAAGATCAGTTATGAACTATTCGATTGACCTTAGCATGCCAGCCAAAACATCTTTCATACCCTTTGTTGGAGAATCCACTAGCTCGATGGTTAGAAGAAAGAAGCTAAACATGAAGCTAAGGGATGTGTTTACGCCTGAGACTTCAACCAAAATTAGTAAAAGGAAGTTCAACATTACTCAGACCTCGCAAACAGGTTGGTTCTCTCCTGGATTAAACATTCCTGGAAAATGTGAGGTTTCATTAGAAAAGTTCGAATAAATTTTTTCAATGTTAAATTTAATAATAGGGGTTTTGGGGTTTTGGGGTTTTGGGGAGA